AGAGTATGCCCGCCGGATTACCGGGTAATGCCCGGGAGGCCTAGGTAACTACCGGCTATTGCCGGGTAATTACCGCAGAAGGGTAATTACCCGGTAATCAGGGCGTCCGCGGACGGCTAGAGGCGGTATGGCGGCTCGAAAGGACCACCGCGAACCCGCGTGTCGACCGAATTCTCTTTTAGGTGGCTTCCACGCGACAACGCCGGCGGCGCGCTACGGCGCGGGGGCCGTCGCCCGGCGCGCCCGTCGCGACGTCGCGACGAGCAGCCGCTCGGTCGCGGTTTCGCCCCGCGCGTCGACCGCGACGCGAAACGCGACCGCGACGGGCCGCGACGCTCGGATCGTCAGCCACGTGTACTGGCGGCATTACCATTACCGGTAATTACCGGCGAAATTACTCCGGCGGCTAGGCGAGAGTGCCGCGGTCATCGCCGCCTGCGACGGATGAGCGCGCGTCCCGCGCCACTGCGCGCGCGTCCCTATGGTTTACGTTAAAATTGAGGTCTGCTGGGGGTCCCTCCGCGTGGCCGGAGCCCGGAATCCCCGCCGCACTCGTCGGCGGGCGCCGGCGTCAATCAACCCGGGCGTGCCCGTGAGGATTGAAGCTATACAACATGGTCGTCTCCGCCTCGTCAATTCGCGACATGAGCACCGATGAAAAGCTGCCGCGTGCAGATTCCGATGGATCACTGGCGTCCATCGACGACGCAACGAACCACGCGGAGTACAAGGTGCGGCGGTCGCGCCTTATCGGCATGGTGAATTGGTGGCACGTCGCTATGACTTTTTACCCGCGCGGCACCTCGTGTCTGAAAAACAAGCCCGGCGAATTTCCGGCATTGCCAGCTCTCTATTTATAGGCACATCTTGGTGACTCTACTTTGCTATTTGGCCTCGCAAATCACATTTGATGTGTTGACAATTGGACCGAATGTGCCAATTGAGATTGCGCTGGGAGTCTTGCGGGAATTGCCCCCTGCTCTCTTGGACATGTCGTGGCGTTCAACTCTTCTAGGTCTTTGTCTTGTGTGGTATCTGGCACGGCACCACCATCCAGTTTACCTGGTTGACTTTGTGACCTTTGAGCCGCCAGAGAGCTGGCGATTGACTCATGATGAGCTGATGACCTGCATGCGGCGCCAACGATGTTTCACGGAAGAGAGTATCGCCTTCCTAAAGCGAATTCTTGACAAGTCTGGCACTGGGCAGAGGACAGCGTGGCCGCCGGGGATCACGCGTTGCCTCCGAGACGAGTCGAAAACGGCGGATCAGTCAGTGGAAGCTGCGCGCAAGGAGTCTGAGACTGTGATATGTGACGTTGTTCAGAGTTGTCTACAGCGCACTGGAACTTTGCCGACCGAGGTTGACATCCTCATAGTGAACTGCAGCCTCTTCTCTCCGACACCGTCCCTTTGTGCCATGATAATGAATCGCTTCAAAATGTGCGAGAATGTTATGGCATACAATCTGAGCGGTATGGGCTGCTCCGCAAGTCTCATCGGGATCGAGCTTGCTCAGAATGTGCTGCGATCGCACCCGAATAAAGTTGCCCTCGTTGTTTCTACCGAAAACCTCACCCAAAATCTCTACCATGGAAATGAGCGCAGCATGCTCCTCCAAAACACGCTTTTCCGATGTGGGGGCGCCGCAATGCTTTTATCAAACAAGTGGCGCGATGGTCAACGAGCAAAATTTAAGCTGCTTCATGTTGTCCGTACCCAAAGCACGGGCGATGAAGCATACGACGCTGTTTACGAGTGTCAAGACAGCAGCGGCGAACATGGGGTCAAACTCGATCGAAACATTGTGAACATTGCAGGTCGTACCATGGAAAAGAACTTCACCGTCCTAGGGCCTTATGTTCTTCCTCTATCAGAGCAGATGCGTGTCGCATACACACTTGCTAAGAAAAAACTCTGTAAGTATCTTTGCAGGGCCCTACGACTCCATAAGGAAGAAAGTCGGTCGATAATGACTGAGATTCTCTCCAGCTGGATCCCTGCCAAGATTCCTGCTTATGTCCCCGACTTCAAGCGCGGCATTGACCATTGGTGCATCCACGCGGGCGGCCGTGCTGTCGTTGATGGCGTTGCTAAGAATCTCAAGCTGCAACCCGAGCACGCCGAGCCAAGTAAAGTTGCACTCTTCAATTATGGAAACACATCATCTTCTTCGATTTGGTATGAGATGGACTATGTTCGTAAGGTGCAAAACCCCAGGAAGGGGCATCGTATTCTCCAGGTCGCCTTTGGTAGTGGTTTCAAATGTAACTCTGCTGTCTGGCTCTGCCTTCATGAGTAGCAGGGACTAGCCCTAATGGCTCTGCTTCAGACCTGTGGGCTAGGATAGGAGAAAGGGGCAACTATCAGAGTTCTTGTCAAGGCTCCCGGACTTTGGGGGCGCGCGCAACAAGTTATTAAATTTTCTTACTGTGCTCACCATCCGATTTTGTGGTATAGATTTTCAGGTGACTTTCCAAACTGATGTTCTGACTTCATATTCATCTTTTTCCTCGCCAGTCACCTTCGTGGCGATAGCGACTGTTCAGTCGACTGTTTTGCCATCCGAATAGGGCGTATTCCAATCCAACACGCTAGTGCGCTAGCGGACCAGGAGTTAATTCATCTCCAAGAGCTCTGTGCGTGAGGTCTGAATTTTGAATGCTAGGCATATGCTCAGTCGGCACTGACGAAACATCGAGACTCTGCTCAAGACTACTTTCAAGACTCCACAAAGGTCCTATGGAAATCTGGCTGAGGTGGCCCCGCGAAGGGTGACTCTCAGCCTGGATCGCCAGCCTGGATCAGCCAGCCAGCTGCCAGCCAACCCATGCCTAGCAGCTACTCCCTCCCACTTGACCTACTGTGCAAGCAGCCAAAATCTGATCAGCCAGCGCGCTAGGTGCCATTTAAACACTAAGTGGCGCGATCGGCGTCGATTCGCACGCAGAAATTACCCATTCCGTGGTGTGTTTCTAGGTTCCATTTTACCGTAAAAACCTTGCCGCTCCAGAGGCGAGTTTTTCGAGTTTGACTTTGCCGGTGATTTGCCGCCGGCGAGTCTGCCGCCGCCCGAGCCGGTTTTCCGGCGGCCGAGAGGCCCCTCAAGCCGTCGCGTCCCGCGCCTACTACGCGGCTAGGTTGCGTCTTACCGTAAAAACTTTGCCGCTCCAGAGGCGAGTTTTTCGAGTTTTACTTTGCCGATGATTTGCGGCCGGCGAGTTTGCCGCCGGGCCGGTTTTCCGGCGGCCGAGAGGCCCTTCAAGCCGTGGCGTCCCGCGTACTACGCGGCGCGCGTGACGCGCGGAAATGACCGAAATAAGCTCTGCTTTATTGGCGCGGATATTACGGCGCTTCGCGGTTCCTCCTGCGATGACGGCGCTGGTTGTGTGAGGGGCTTGGCAGCCAATTTATCGTAGTTTGCTTCAAGTTGAGGTACAACTTTACTTCAATGTACCACGGAAACTCGCCGTTTCCCCAAGTAGCGGCGCCGGCAAATCGAGCTGCGGCAAACGCAAAAACTCGCGACGACTCCGGCAAAGCAAACAAACTCGCACTCGCCGGCGAATTCCCGCAGTAAACTTTGAAACGCAACCTAGCTACGCGGCGCGCGTGACGCGCGGAAATGACCAAATAAACTCGGCTTCATTGGCGTGGATATTACGGCGCTTCGCGGCCCCTCCTGTGAGGACGGCGCTGGTTGTATTTGGGGCTTGGCAGCCAATTTATCGCAGTTTACTTCAAGTTACAGTGCAACTTGACTTAAATTTACCGCGGTAACTCGCCGTTTTCTAATCAAAGTTTACCACCCCGTACCCTGGAGCTCGAGGTCACTCGATCCTCGAGGCAAATCCACTCGTCCGAGCAGGAACATAGAACCTTCAATGAGTGGTTTTAAAGCGAGCTTACTACTTCAATCCTACTTCAATAAATTGACCGTCGCGTTTTGCTAACTTTCGAGACGGGGTCCTCCAATCAAACTCACCGGCCGCGGTGAGCTCACGGCGCCCGTCGTCGGAAGCGGTTCCTGTTGAAAGTAAGCAAAACCTTACCGATGGCGACGCGCGGTGGAAAATTCCAGAGTGCTGGCGGGACGAAAGCCATAAATCTCACAGAAAAAAGTGCCAGTTAAATTCGACGGCCTGTCCCACGCGATCAAACGCGTCGATTTCTGAGGGGCGGGAACAACGCGGGTCAAAGTGCCCTATTCGCCTCCCCCATGCTCAGGCCGACTCCAGGCGAGCGAAGCGCGCCGGCCGGCCGTGGGGTGTGTTAAAATTGCGGATCTGCAAATTTGGATCTGCAAAAAAATCCCGTTACCGCATAGCGTTGTGCTGATGCGTTTCAGCGGAGACCCAGCGCAGGGCTGGTCTTCTGATTTCGTTTACGCGAAGTCTTTACGAGTAGCATCGCCGGGACCAAGATCTCGGACGCCAAAGGCAACGCAACACTCTGACGAATGGCTCCACAGGTCGACGCGTAGCCTCGGGATGCGTTCGTTTTCTGGCTCCCTCACACCCAAGGATCAGGAAGACCTCCATCGGCGACTAGCAATCGCAGGGAGAGAATTCAACAAAGGATACATCACTGAGGACGTGTACCACAAATATGTTGACGCACTTCTCCATGGCAAAGAAAATATGTTAGTGACTGCCCCACAAACCAGGCCTCACTCAGCACCACACTCTTGCCATACGCCAGCGCCGAAACAGGAGGATGAGTTCGCTCGACCTGCACTTGCCAAGACGCTACCACGACGTGCACCTATCTATGATGAATCCAAATACCAGCAGTCAGTACGTGCGCGATCAGCACGAGAGCGCTCGAGAGCGCTAGCCTGGATGGAGAAAGTTGTGCGGCGTGACCATTCGGGTAACGTGAACGGTGGGGCACGCTCGCAAGCTTGTAACGAGGTATCTGCGGCAAACGAGGTTCTTGTGAAAGGCGCTCCTCGAGGAACACCAAAAGCTGCTATCAAGGAGCTTATGCTGAATTTCGGTACCGTTACCTCCATCAAGGCCATCGAGATCGACGGCAAGGAAATGTGTTTCACGGCGAGCTTTCCTCATTTGGAACATGCATCGCTTGCTGTTCGCGCAGCCAAGGTAACTCTAAACGTGGCTGTCATCATTTCTCCATTGCCAAGAGGGGGCGACCTAGCAACCTTGCGACGCATCTGCAGTCGTTGGGGTAAAGTCTCGTCGGTCAGACCTCATATTTCTAGTCAGTCAGCCGTGGTTACTTTTGAGACAGAGGCTGGGGCGAAGAAGGCAGTTGGTAAACACACCATCGAGGCCTCGGCAGAATTACATGTGACTGGGATTCCTGCTGATGCCAAGGAAGAGCACATTCGTGGCGCCTTTGGCGGTCTGCGCGGCGGTGTCACCGGGGTCCTGTTTGAACCAGTCCTAAACGAATCGTTTCAAAGTGCGATCGTCACGTTCTCCTCCTCACATCTTGCAGCCCGTGCAGCGGGAACCCGAGAGGTCGCAATAACAGGACGTGGCGGTGCAGTCTCAGCTCTCGCCAAAGCTCAAGCCGGCGCATACAAAGGTCATACCGCACCTTGGCACTCAATGCTCAAGGAGCGTCCTTTTGCTAATTACGAAATGCACTCATATCAGTTTGGTCACCAGCCTTGTTCCACACGTGAGTTCAAGCAGAGGGCTGCTGGAACATATGGAATTGAGCACCGCAGTAAAGACCTTGCAGGGTCTTGCGTGCGCTATACAACCAGGCGAGTGAGGGTGAGGGCCGTGGTATGTACAACAACACTTCAAGTGACTGCGTGTCCTTCAATAGTCACCATCATTTCTCCGTGATTCTGGCCCCGGTAACAACAATATTTGAAATTATACGTATACCTAATTTTGTGTGTACCACGAGCGCACCCGGCATCTATATCATCGACTCTCCTCCATGGATTTGTGTGAGGAACCTGCCATGGAGTCTGAACCCCTGCCATGGAGTCTGCAAGGGAGGATAGCATGGTCCCGAGACAGGGCAGCATAGCCCAAGGCACAGAGCATAGCCTCCCAAGGTAGCTTGGCTATCGCCGAGCGCACTTCGATTATGCTTCCGCGTGGCCAGACAGCGCAGGTGGCAGACTTGGCGGCAGGAGCTTGCTCGGGGCGCCAAGCCCCCACGCAATCGAAACGGTTCCCCCTCCCCCCACGGACATCGTATGGCTGGGAGCAGATGACACGGCTCGAGGAGGAGACGCAGGGGGCCCGTTCATAGCTCGCGCTGCGCCTTTCCTGTAGTTCGCACGTAGAGTGAAAACTTCGGAAGCGTAGCAGAGCAGAAGTCCCCGCTGCGGTGCCGGAAACCGAAAATTGAAAGCACCGTCACGGCAAGGCAAGCACCGTCACGGTCAAAGAACTTCACCACCACCAGCCCCATGCGGCCCTGCGCGGCGATCGGGGCCGCCGATTCGGTAGGAGAGCCCGCGATGCGGAATTTGAGGTAATTATCTTCTGTCCGAGCTTCGTTTCCGCCCTACTGAAGTATATGCGCTTTTGGGCGATGGGGAAGTGCGGTGGTTTTCAGGGGCTCGGGCTCGACGCAAGCCTTCTGAAGGGCGTTTTGGCCATGTACAGCCAGCCGACGCCTGTTCAGCGAGAAGTTTTGCCAGTGGCGCTTTCTGGGCGGGACGTCGCATGCATGGCTCGCACGGGAGCTGGAAAGACGGCGAGTTTCTTGATTCCTGTATTGCAGGTGGTTTGCCAGGCGTTTCGAGCTGACGGCAATGAAGACCCCGTGGCATGCATCCTTTCTCCAACGCGTGAGCTGGCGTTACAAACATACAGATTTGCTTCAAAAATGTCCAAGTTTTGCTTGGGCATGGACGGTAGACAGTTTTCTCAAGCTGCTTTAGTGGGCGGTGAAGCCGTTGAGGCGCAATTCGATACACTGTCTCGGAGACCAGCAACCTTGATCGCGACGCCTGGGCGGCTAGCACATCTCTTGCAGGAAGCGCCTCTATCTTTGATCACTTTGGCCCGGTGCCGAGTTGCTGTCTTCGATGAGGCAGACCGGCTCTTTGAGATGGGATTTGCCCTACAACTGCGCTTACTGCTAGATGCGATGCCAGAGATCACGCGACAGACGCTTCTCTTTAGTGCAACAATGCCAAGGCTACTAGCACAGTTTGCCCGTGCGGGGCTTCGTGACAATGTTGCTCTCGTCCGCCTCGAGGCAGAGGCGAGGCTCAGTGAGACCTTACGACTCGCTTTCTTCACGACACGCACAGCGGAGAAACCAGCAGCGCTGTGCGCAGCAATTCGAAACATAATACCAAATTCGAACGAGCTCACTATTGTTTTTGTGGCGACACGGCACCATTGTGAACTGATTCTTGCAGTTGTGACCGCGGCCTTTCCGAGCCAGCCAGCTGCAGCCATCTACGGGGCGATGGATCAGGAGGCACGGACAACACACATGCGTGATTTCAGGCGTGGTGTTACAAGAATGTTGATTGTGACTGATGTGGCAGCTCGAGGGTTGGATGTGCCGCTCGTCGACAATGTGATCAACTATCATATGGCGCCTGCTTCCCGACTTTTTGTACATCGTTGTGGTCGTGCGGCTCGACAAGGTCGACCTGGTGTTGCGCTCTCGCTTGTTGACCCAGAAGAACTCCCGTATATGCTAGACCTACACACTCTCTTGGACCGGGTTCCGGCAGATGCGTGCGGCCCCCAACCCCAGGAACGCCAAGATGATCACACTATTAAGGTATCACTCCCGTCGGCGCTGCTCTCTTACACTCGTGCGGAGGGGTGGACGCCTGATGGAATCCACTATGGCAATATACGACAGGCGTTACTCGACTTAGAGGCCAGGACTCTGGCAGTTGCGTCTCAAAATGATGGCGGGTTGCTCTTGGCGCTGACTCGTGTTGCCGATAATGCAATGCAGCAATACCGCAAGACAAGGCCTGCCGCCTCGAAGCGTGCTGCCACCCACGCGAAAATTATAAGACTCACTGAGCTGCACCCGCTCTTCTTGGGAACCATTCGCTCGGCTATCTCTACTGATGAGACCGCTTCGGCGCACTTCCTGGACAGAGATAATTGTGTCCTTAGGGCTCGCCTGAGCTCCTACCGGCCGAATCAGTCTATTCTCGAGATGAAGCTCACCACGGCGAAGGACGAAAGTGCTTGCCAAGAAGCTGCAAAGGTTTTTCGAGATGCAGTCATTCGAAAGAAAGCTCTGCAGGATGGGCGTGCCAAATCTCAAGCTCTCGCTCTCCAGGCTAAGGAGCATGGTAGCAACACTGCCATGAACACAGTACGCCTTGTCGAGGAGCCACTTGACGATACGATGGTCAACGAGGGAACCCACGATGTGCGTCCTAAGCGCCGCATCTCTAAAGCAGAGCGCAAGGCGCTCAAGTCCGGTGATAGATATGACGCAAATCATGATCAAAGTTCAAAGCTGGAGTCTTTCCGGGCGGACGCTTACATCGAGTACGGGAATACACGTGCAGCGGAAATAGATGAGCTTCTCGATGACCATCGACAAAAGGATGACTCTGCCTCAGGTGCGGGCACTTCCATGCTCGAGTCCGCACTTCTTGACATAGCCCCAGACGACGCTTTGGACATGATAAGGAAGCGTAGTATGTATCGCTGGGATTCACGGAAACGGAAATATATTCAATCGACTGTAGCTGACCTGCTCGACGGTACCAAGCAGCGTGGTAACAAGAAGCTCAAAACGGAGTCGGGTAAAACCGTTTCTGGGGCTGTCGCTGCTGCCTCCTCTGGAGAAATGTATCGAAGGTGGTACGACAAGAACCGCAGGGGGGCCACCCATACCCTAGATGATGCTATGCAGCAGAACTTAGAAAGGAAATGCGACCACCGCAGTCGTGCCAAGGTCGGAAAGAAAAAGTCAAAACCTGCTGGTTCTAGAATCAGTAAAGTCAGCAATACCCCGCGACCAAATAATGAGCTCAAGTCCGCTGTCCAGATTGCGAAGCAGCGAAAGGAGACAGTGGCCCTCAATCAGAAAAACATGCCTCGGGCAAAACGCCGTGCATTCGTCTTCGGGAAAGCTCGCGGCAGTACAATATGACTTCATGGACCAGATGCATGAGCTGGACGTGCAATTTCCTTGGATAGTCGTCTCATTCTACTTTGCCAAGCCCTGTGCTAGGGAGCACAATGGGCTGGACATAGACAACCCAGCGCATCTAAGTTCGCGACGTTGCCGTCTTCATAGCAGCCCGTGGGAAATTCAGCGCCCTCCAGTTTGGGCAGCGCCTCCCGGGGGCCTGCAGCCCGGCGCCTCTACCCGGCGCCTGAGTAATGCTTCCTTTTCTATCTGCCTCTTATCTACTGCACATGAACTTCAGAGTCGCCTAGAGCACGATGAAGGCCAACGGCTGTCCGCCGCGAGAGTAAAATCCCGCATGGGGGGTCGGGTTTGTAAAATTCGACTGGGTCCGGCGGGGGCGTACTTGGGGAGGCGTCGGGCGACCCCCCCTAGGTCCCCAGGGAGCTCCTGGCACTTATTTTCTGGATCGGTCGGTCGGTCGGTCGTCGTCGCCGCCGCCGCCGCCGCCGCCGCCGCCGCCGCCGCCGCCGCCGCCGTCGTCGTCGTCGTCGTCGCGCGCGCGCGGGGAAGTTTCGAACTTAATTCAGTCGCAGGGCAACCGCAGAGAGGTGATGAGTTGCCCCATGCCAGCTGTCACGGTATATGGACCCGGGGATGCAAAAATCGAGTCGGCGCGCCCCGCAGTCGCAGTGATCGACAGTCGCCGCAGAATGCCGCCGGCAGAATTTTTTGCGCTCCCGAACCCCGTCGTCGCTGCCCGACGCAGCACGCGCGCTTTTCGTGCACCACCTGGCGCAAAACGGCGCGGTGCCGGCGCATCACCTCATCGCAGCGTTATCCGTCGGTCAAACGATGCCGTTTTGGATGATTTCGATGAGGTTTTCGATGCCTACTTCAATAAATTAACCAAAGCGTTTGCTTTTGTAACACCCCTGGGTCGACGAGTTAAATTCACGGGCCGCGCTGAGCTTACGGCGCCCGCTGTCGGAAGCGGTTGCTGGTCCAAGTAAGCAAAATCTTACCGATGGCGACGCGTGGTGGGAAATTCCAGAGTGCTGGCGGGACGAAAACCAAGAATCGTCCAGAAAAATGTTCGAGTTAAATTCGAGGGCCTGTTCCACGCGATCAAACGCGTCGGTTTCTGAGGGGTGGGAACAACAAAAGTCAAGTTGTATTATCCGACCCCCTCATGCGGGATTTGGCTCCGAGTTCAGCCGCCCTGCACAACGCTTCTGTGTCTTGGATGATGATTGTCGCGGATCCGATAGACGCGTTGCGTTGTCTTGGATGATGATTGTCGCTATGTCCTGTCCATGTCTTGGCTGGACGTCTCCACTATCGTTGGCTGCTGCATACACAGCAAAAATTCTCGATTTCTTCCCATGTAGCCCGGTTCTTGTATATCGCATTCATATGCACAAACAGTGGGTTGATTCTCTGTCTCTTGTCATTCCATATCATGTTGCACTACTCGGGCACGGTACCGCACAGACAAACTGTCAGCGAGGTTATTATGTACGAAGACGGGAAGGAGGGAAAGTATCAGAGGAGCATAAATCCTAGTTAGGATATTGGTTGCTCATTATTTGTTACTCTATTCAGATAGACTCAGGACCGGATCCCTTTTTCAAGTTCACTATACTGACAACGAGGAATTCCCTTTTTAGGTGCAGCCCCGCAATTCCTCTTAGCATAAACCGTGGAGAAATAAAGCACGAGGGGCATTTGGGGAAATCGCAAATCGTACGTAAGGTGCTTGGGGTATTTCGGGTCCGCGAAGGGGTTCTGGCACACGTGTGGCTTGGGGCGGGTCGCGTGGGCGGCGCCTCTGAGGCCCCCCGTAGGCGTGAGCGGCGGTGTTGAAGTCGCCCTTTTGCGTTTCCCCGACCCGAACCCGAGACCCACGCCTGTGACGCGTCCAAGTCGATGCAAAAACGCACTTTGCGAGCTTCAATTGACTTGATGTGATATATTCGGCCATTTTTGCCAAGGGGGCCAGAGGGATTCCAGTTTAGGCCTGGGGTTCAGGCTTTCCCGGTGCCGTTAGTTGATCTGGAACCTGTCGAGCAGCTGGCTGATGTATTTCCATGCTAGCTCGGTTCCTCGCCATGCGTTGTGTCGCTTGACTGGGGCCTCCGTGTTGAAGCCGTAGAACGAGGTCTGCTTGTTTTAAAAGATCTTGGAGCGATGCGACTCATGAAAGCTCGGAGGGAGCGCACAGATACGTCGCGGTGAGGAAGATAAACAAGAGCCCCATCAGTCGAGCCTGGTGCCTTACACCGATTCGATGAAAGTGAGCTGGTACCTCCCTCTTTGTGAGCATAAGAACATCACGAATACGGGCATATCTCAGCCAGCCGGTGAGAAATGCCGTGAATACGGAGACGATGAATCCACTACCGAGGAGGAAGAGAACGACAGCGAGCCACGATTCCCTACTATCTCCGACAAGCGTCAGGAGTGAAAATGCAACTGAGAGTGCAGAGAGTGATGTGCGAACCCAGGCAAGCCACGTCCGCTCGTTTGCCAGGTGTGCCTGGATATTCTCAAATTTGATGAGCTGCTTCCGGAAGACTCCTGTCGACCTACGCCCTGCCGCCGAGACGTGCACGTTTAGCAACAACCCGTCTGGGAGTGCTGCTCCCAGAGCTACGAAGCTTCCATCGCAAGGATGTCTGCAAACGATATCCGGGCCAACCAACAGCCCCAGAGCCTTAGTCACAAGCGATCGGATGGCGGCATCGGTGACCCATTCCGCACCGAACCACCTCACGTCCACGCCGTTGGTTCCATGCAACCGAAGCTTCACCGTAGTCGGATCAAGCACAGCCATCGACGCTGAGGCCGGTCGCCCGAGAAGAAATCGAGGTTCGATGCATTTCCGGTAACGAGTTACTAATAAAATGCAACAAGCCGGCCTACGGCCGGCAAGCTCGCTTCGCGAGCTATCGGCCACTCGCTTGATTGAGGTTGCTCGCTACGCTCGCTTTAAACCACTCATTAAAAGTTCTATGTTGCTGCTCGGACGCAGGGATCGCGCGACTGCAAAATAGAATATAGATGCTATGTAGTCGATTTACCCACCACAATGCCTTTGGATAGTTCCCCATATGATGTGCCGAAGAAATCTTGATCAGCTTTCGACAGTTTTCCTTTATGAAATGTAGAGAAATCAGTTGTATCCGAAGGAGTGGAAGGGCTTTCCTTAGCTTCTTCAGCTCCAGGAGGTGGTTTATTTGTTAATTCCTCCAGAGATTTTTCATAGCTTCGAATGATTCTTTTATTGATGCTAGAGTAGCATCATGTGTCTCTTTATCGGCTGCAATGTCAGCACTAATACGATTATTCACTGCTGTAAGCGATGAAGCCGCATCTTTATCTCTCTCTTCCAACTTTCCAATAGTCTTTTGAACTCCTTCCAGTATGGTAGCTTGCTGTGCCAGTACAGCGGCAAGCTGTGTGGTAACTGGGTCAGCCATACTTCGATTTCGGTTAACGGTAGAAATACGTAATGTTTTTCTCTGGTCTGAGGGGTCCGCCTATCAATTGAAATGTCAGTCCTGCTCGACTTGTTGTTCTTTTACCATAAACGGTGGAAAGAACACTCGACCACACTCGAGGTTTACTCGAGGGACTCAGCTGCTAAAATGCGCGAGTCGAGTGGTTGAGCCAAGGAGCCAGATCCGTAACTCTCGCTGGAGTTATACGATCTGTGGGCCCATAACCCTCGCAGGGGCAGCTGCGAGAGTTACGTGGACTGACCTACTGGCGTTAGCGCCAGGGAGGGAGGATCTCAGTACTTTGGGATAGGAAAGGAAAGAGAAAGGAGGAGAGCCTCCTCAGTGGGGAAGGTCAGTCAGGGTGGCAGTAGGCCCAGTAGGCTGAGCCTATGGTCCTGTAAAGAGGAAGGTAGACCTTGAGGGTAGGTCAACGGTTGAGGTAGAACTTGAGGGTAAGTTGAGGAAGAGTCAGGAAATAATCCTTGAGGGCGCCCGGCGGACCGAGCCGCAGAACGCGGCCGTCAAAGCCGGACGCGGCCCATCGGACCGGCTTCCCAGTGCGCTGGGGCAGCTAGAGATCTTTACGCCAGTGGACGGTCATCGTGATAGCCCAGGGGATTGACTACAATAGTAGTGAACGACAAAATTAATTTCAAATCGGCGTCTTGATGACGTCTCGGAAAGACACGCTGAGTGATGACGATCAGAGGGAGAAATTCAACTCATTTCTCGATTCTGAATATGGCAACGTGTACCACGATATTCTGCACGATTTGTTCGTGGAAGACATTCAAACACCCCAACGGTTGCTCATAAACTTGGGTGATATTCGGCAGTATGATCCGAACTTAGCCCGCCACTTGCTGCAGCAACCGTTAGAATTCATCCTTCCGTGGATGGAGGCCGTCTTTCATCGAGTTCAGCGAATCCATCAAGTAGTAACCGAGGCCTCGCATGTTGAAAGACTCGCAAAACGCCCCATGCAAATACGAATTGGCTTTGTTGGCGCCTTTGGCCCAAATCAACACTCTCCTCGTACATTGCGTGCTAGCCACCTGGGGAGCCTTGTCTGCGTCGAGGGCGTAGTGACACGATGTTCCATTACACAGCCAAAGATTGTGAGCTCTGTTCACTGGTGCGGAGCTACCCATCGGTATATCGTGCGGGAACACCGCGACTCCACTACGCTCGATCTCTGCAATAGCGCTGCAGGCACGCTTCAAAGCTCCGGTGCATACCCACACCCTGAGCGTGATACAGAGGGACACCCATTGGAAATGGAGTATGGTTTGTCTGTTTTCAAGGATTATCAAAGCGTAACGGTCCAAGAATCACCAGAAAAGGCCCCCCTCGGACAGCTACCACGCTCAGTCTGCAATTCTGCGTCCCACCTCCCATCATCTCCAGTAAAATCGATATTGCAAGTCTTGCCACCCACTGGCACAGGTCGACATTTTTCTTGAGGACGATCTTGTCGACATCATCAAACCAGGAGACCGTGTCAAGTGTGCTGGTATCTATCGCGCACTTGCACAAGATGGAGTCGCGACGTCTCGACTCTTTCGCACAGTGGTATTAGCAAACTCTGTTGCCACGCAAGGTTGCGCTGTGAGCTGCATGTCTCTCACCCCGCACGATGAGGCAGACATCAAGGCCACTGTGCGTTGCATATTTGCAGTTGCGTGGCTCGTGTGATTGTCGACGATTGTAGGCGTCCCTGCTTGAACATGAATTATCCAAAGATAGAGCAGTGACACCAAACTTCGACTCAATATTGCATGCTCTCTCTGTGGCCTTTGCGCCTTCGATTCACGGTCACATGGCTATCAAACGGGCACTAGTGTTACAACTTGTCTGCCAGACCGCGCACCCCAATTTTTTGGTTGACTACAACGTCGTTGTGGCAGGTTGGTGGGGCCGAGCGGACTTTGATGAACGGCTGTAGACTGAGAGGTGATATCAATGTGCTCTTAGTTGGCGATCCATCAACAGCAAAAAGTCAACTTCTCCGTGCAACCATGCGTGCTGCGCCGATTGCCGTCAGTCGGATTCCGCGACACGTGCAATTTAGAATGCTGCCAGTGATGGTGGAAACTGGTAGGCACTACTGGCCGCGGTTCTTCTGGTGTTGGACTGACGGCGGCTATCGCCCAAGACTCAGAGACCGGAGATCGTCGCCTAGAGGCTGGCGCAGTTGTCCTTGCTGATCGTGGCGTCGTCTGCATCGACGAATTCGATAAAATGTCCACGGGTAGATGAAATTGTTAATCAAAGTGGCTCGATGAGCCATCGTTTCCAGGTGATCGCATCGCGATTCACGAGGTCATGGAACAACAGACGGTAACCATCGCCAAGGCGGGGATTCATGCATCGCTTAACGCACGATGTGCTGTACTAGCAGCAGCCAATCCTATTTATGGACAATACGACACAGACAGGCGGCCACAAGACAATATTGGACTGCGCCGCACAGTGCACCCTACATCATCGTAATGCCAACATCTCTCGTTCTAAAACTTCAGGCCTGACTCTCTGCTTTCACGTTTTGACTTACTATTCATCGTTTTAGACAATGTTGACGCCTCATCCGATCGGGAGGTTGCAGACCATGTTCTTCGCTCACATCGCCTCGGCCTGAATCAAATACCAGTATTGGATTACCATTCCGCCCACAAACACAACTTAGCATCAGATGCACGATCCAAAGAGGCTGACGTGGAGAATGAAATTGAATCTACCTCCATATGGCAAATACCGCACCGTGGGACTATCCCTTCGGCCCAGAGTCAGCTACAACCCCCCAAGGATGCAGTGCTGCATCCAAATTTTCTTCGGAAATACGTTCATTTTGCTCGCCAATTCGTTGAGGCAAATTTAAATGATGATGCGCGTCAGAGCATTGCGAATGCCTACGCAGACCTAAGAATACGAGCTGACGAAAGCACGCTACCAGCAGGACGCAGTGCCAGCTTTTTCGATACATTTGCCATGATGCTCACCAGGTCACTGCACGATGTCTCGAAGCTCTCATACGACTCTCGACAGCCCATGCAAAAGTGCGACTCTCAAGCTCGGTCAATAAGTCTGATTGTGTTGCTGCGCTTGAACTCTTATCGTTGGCTACCATGCGTTCAAACTTGTCTAGCAAACTCACATCTCATTTCAACAGGTTCGCGTTACATGGCGATTCACCTTCCCGCTGCCTTGATGTCACCGTCTCAAATGGCAAACGAGGAGGTAGTGCTGAAGTATGTACACAAGCGAGAGGGGCGATGTTGTCTAAACGGGCGTTTCTGCAGGCAGTTTGGGGGGCGACCAAACGCCCCTGTTTAGACGAAGCATTTAGTACACAAGAAAACAAGCAGACATTTAAAAGCCAAATAGGGAGCCCAGGTCGCTCTGAAACTATTCTTCGAGTATACAGCGGTCTTCTGTCGACTTATGAAGAACAGGGCAAGGTGGGACTATCTGATTTGTTGGAAGCGGCTAATTCGTCCTTGACACCGCACGAGTTGGAATATCAGCTTTCAGAGGTGGAATCAATTCTTCGAAATCAACAAGATGAGAATCGTCTCATGTATGATGAATTAAATGGTCCATCTCAGAGTCCCAAGTGACGAGCTCACTTGATTTAATCTTGAATTCGAATTGCTAGGTGAGATTCATTTCCTATAGCTTGCCGGGAGTCGGTTTGTCACCACACCATGGTTTCACAACAAGAACGATGGGACAAGAAGAGGGGGGAAGAAGAGGAAAATGCGCCCGCGTGCAGAAGTTCAATGCCCGGGTGCTCGGCTAGCTTCTAGATTCGCAGTCCGCCCTCCTGCGGATTACACTCGCGATTACTCCGACTGGCAAATTACTCGGATGTGGGAAACTCAGCGCTGGCTGAAGCCCACTAGTACCGGGCTACTATAAATAAAATCTGGCGGTGCCTGGCGACACGGGCCCGTGTAAACACCTGCGGCCCGGTGCATCCAGCAGTGGTGATCGCTTCACTGCCCCCCGGACCCCGGACGCAGCCCCGCTCCGCCGACCAACCACAGCGTCTCGAGCAAAAGACGACGCTTCAGCCGAGCGATACATTTCACTGCAGCTTGGTCCGTCGATTAGTAAGTGGGGAGCACCAGGCTCAGCGAGGTAGCACAGTCGCCGGACAGCGCACCTGCTGGATAGTAGCTTGACTGACGTCATAGCGACGTTAGGAAGCTAATAAACTATCCTGACTTCCTATGAACCAAGTTAGTACTCTATTCAGATAGATCCTTCTTTCAAGCCCCTTATCAAATTCCCTTTTTCATAAACCGTGGAGAAGTAAAGTAAGACATCACCTTATTCCCCAACCCGTGCCCAAACGCGTGCGCTATGGCGTCGTCTCGCGGGGGCCGCCAGTGCGCGGTTCCTGCGACATTATATAGCTCGTCCTCCCGGCAGCCGGTGCGGAACACCCCTGGCAGCGGGGGCAGTCCGAGTGAAAGGACGAGCTATAGACTTTCGAGGAAACCTGACCGTTATTCTGTCCATCCCGCGGTGCACGGGTTCGACGGGGCTGGGGTGGCTCCGCTCGGAGCCGATAGGGAGTTGAGGCCATGGCAAGGGCTGTGATGGGATCGATGGTCTCGAACGACCCGGGCAGCCTCCTGCTTCGCCGAGAGAGCCGAAAACCACTCT